AGTCTCTCAAATAAGGAAACAGATAAGCATTTATTAAATGTCAGTTCTGTGCCAAGCAGTATGAGAGGAATGGGGGATAAAAAGACAAATACAAATAGTCCTGCCCTCGAGGAACTTAAGAGTCTAGTGAAAGAAGACAGCATATACATACATATATGTGTGTGTGTGTGGACTATTGTAGTAGATTTCTTCTGCCTTCTCCTCTCAAATCCACCCCCTTTTCCCACTCCAGTCCATCTTCCACTTGACTGTCAAATTGATCTCCCTTAAATGCCAGTTTGACCATATCACTCCCCTGTTCAGTAATCTCCAATGGCTCCCTATAATCTCTAGGATAAAATTAAAACCCTCTGTTTGGCTTTTAAACCTTCTATAACAGCTTCTTTCTGCCTTTCTGGCATTTCTACTTCTTGCTCCCCTCCGCCTGCCACAATACACATATTCTGCCATCCAGTGACACTGACTCCCTTGCCGTTCCTCAAGCATGACACTCTATCCACTGACTATTTTCACAAACTATCCTTCATGCTTAGAACTCTCTCCCTCCTCATCTGCCTTCTGGATCCCCTGGCTTCCTTCAGGCCTCAGCTAAAATCCCACCTTCTACAAAAAGCCTTTCTTAGCCCTGTTTAATGTTAGTGCCTTCCCTCGAGATTATCTCCAATTTTATCCTTTATTTAACTTGTTTGTACATTCTTTTTTTGCATGCTGTCTCTCCCATTAGAGTGTGAGTTCCTTGGGGGCAGGGACTGTCTTCTGCATTTAAATCTCCAGCACATAACACCGTGCCTGGCACATAGAAGGCACTTGATAACTGTTTATTGATTGACTGGCTGACTGGTCTTTCCATTTCGAGAATCTCCCACATCTAAGCTGTTACGGCCAAGTGGCTCCTGAGCTACTGAGGGTCCCAGAAACATGCAGCAGAGCTTTAACTCATAAAGGAACATTATGCCTTTCTTTGTATCCCCAGTACTTAGCACAGAGACTAGAAAATAGTGGACTGATTGACCGACTGATGAGGGAATGAGATCATCTCTAAAGTCCTTCTACTTCCCATGCTCTATGTACTGTAATCTAGGACATCACCCCACTTGGACGTCCTGTATGCAGAAGTACTTTCTTCCCCCTTTCCCTTTCTAACATACTTAGATTGATGACTTTTATTGCAGTGTTCCTAGTCAAGGATAAAACAAACCCAATAACATTTCAAATCCAACCTAGAGCTGAAGGATTTCAGGCTCAGCAGGTCTGGTCACTAAACAACACAGCAATCCTGTCACAGCAATCCCAGCTTTCAGTCATATTTTGAGAGCTAAATCAGGAAGCTCATAATGATCATCATTAGTGGGCTTGCTCTTTTTTTTTTTTAACAGTAAGTATTCTCAGTTTGGCAGTGTTTAGTGTAATACGTATAGTCCAACCAAGTTCATGTTGACATTTCCAAGGTGGGGGTGGAGGGAAGGGATGGAATTTGCTTTCTTTACACCAATGCATTTCTGAATAACTGATTACATGCCACCCCTCAGGCTTAATTCTTGCTTTCTATTTAAAACCTGTGCTGGCAGAATTACTCAACTACTCATGGCAATGTTTGGGACGACTTGAGAATTGATATCGGCATACCACTGGGCAGATGATGGCAGAGCTATGAGGGTTTCCACTGAGTTTGTACATAAGCTGCCAAGTTGGAGAGAACAGAAGTCAAAATCAACTTCCATATGTCCTTTAAAAATTATTATTAAATGGAGCTTTTGGTTAAATCTGAGAAGGCAATAGAATGTAGGCTCCTCTAAAGCAGGGGCCATTTCATTTGGGTTTGTTTATCCCTTAGAACTTAGCATAGAGTCAGTGCTTAATAAAGTGTTATTGAATAGTCTGGTTATGTGAAAAACAATTTTACTGGACTCCAGGAGATGCAGAGCCTCAGGGGTGTAGAATGGTCTAGGTCAGGGGAAGAAGGGTTCTGGAACTATGCCAAAGACTGTAGTCTGGCTTTCTCTCCAAATCCTACTAGGCTAACTAGTGGTCTGGTTTCTGCTGCCTTCCTCCAGCCTGGGAACCTTCCATGAAATTGTTGTGAATTAAAGGTGGTCTGGGAGAGCTCTGTTACTTAAATATCCATTGAGTGTCCCACACTACCCAACGTGTGGTGGGCCCAGAAAGTAGAACATGCTCAGATGCACAAGATATCTTGGGGAATAGAAGACCCGGGTCCAGTTTTAGTATGATGTTTACTAGTGTTAAGATGTTGGAGAAGTCATTTCACCCCTCTAGACTTCAATTTCTTCAACTCTAAAGTTGGGATAATAATTCTTGTACTGTGTGTACCCACAGAGTTGCTGTAAGTTGCAGAGTACTTTGTAAACTTTTAAAGGGAAATTGAAGTGTGAGCTCTCATTTTTATTCTCTGGACTTGGGTAGGATAGGAAAAAATACAGTGTAAATTCCCCTGGATCCACTGCTCCTTAGAGTTTGCTTTAAGTACTGGGCTTCCCATAAAAATTGTTATGATATAGACTTATAGGGAGTCAAAGCTGGAAGGGACTTTAGAACATAGAAAGTCAGAGCTAAAAGAGTGACTTCAGAACAGATTTGAAGGACCCTTAAAACACAGAATGTCATAGTAGGAAGGGATTTTAGTACAGAGGATATAATAGCTTGAAGGTGCCTTAGAACAGAGAATGTTAGAACTTGAGATGTAAGAGAACAAATAGCTGAATCTCTTAATTTTACAGAGGAGGAAATTGAGGCAGAGTTCCTTGTCCAAGGTCACATAGCTAGTAATGGTCAGACCTAGGACTATGACTGTTCTCCTGATTCTCAAACCAATGCACTTAGTTTGCAGTATATAATACTTTCTTCCTAGAATAAAGAAAACTGAAACTCACTCAAATTCTCCAAATATTTGGTCATGAATTTCTATGCATTGATTATAATCTTTTGTTTAAGAAGGAGACAGTGGAAATAGTGTTGGATTTGGTGACCTGGTTTCAGACCTCAGTTCTGCCTTGTACTACCAATGTAACCATGGGCAAGTTACTTTCCATCGCAGGACCTGTTTCCCAATCTGGACAATGAGAGAATTGGACTAGATGATCTCTGAGTTCCTTTGCAGTTCTAAATCTATGATTCTATGAAGTTGTTGTCACTTTTCCTCAGCTTTGGTACTCACACCTCATCAGTATCACATAAGACACTCTATTTCCCATCTCCAGGTATGTTCATCCATTATTCCCCCATATCTGGAATTCTCTGCTTTATCATCTCTACTTCCTGGCTTCCTTCAAGTCCCAGCTAAACTTTAATCATCCACAAGAAAAATTTCCTGATCCGTCTCAATCGCAGTGCCTTTCCTCTTTTGTTTATCTACAGTTGTCTTGTATATATCTTGTTTGTACGTAGTTTTTGTGTGTGTGTATGTTGTCTCCTCTGTTAGACTGTGAGCTCCTTGAAAATAGGTACTGTTTTTTTTTCATTCTGTGTACCCCTTAAGCATTTAACACGTTAAGAAGTGCTTGCTGAGTGACTGATTCAGAACTCCTATGCTCCTCTAGTCTTGTTCCATGATAAAATATAGGAAATAGCTGGTCATCAAGCCTATATTTGAAGACCTCAAGTAAGGGGCACCCACTACCCCTCAAAGCATCCCCTTTATTCAATGAATATTTGTTTATCACATCCTATGTGTAAAGTCTTGTTGATGTTGAAGATACAAAGAAAGTGTAATAACAATGTCATCTTTTCTCATTAGACCCAATAGAATCATCAATTTTCAGGAAGGATGACTTAGACATCATTTAGTACAACCCCCTTAATTTAAATATGTACTTTTTTAGGCATAATGAACTCTCACTTCGAAATTGAATTTAGATGTTTCTAGTCACAACATGCTGTGGCTGCACGATTATGATTTTAGTTTCTCTGAAAAATACAGGATGGAATTATGTCTGCAAATTAATCAGAGATGATATGTATTTCATAAAATATTTCTGGAAATCGAAGCATAAAATTTAGCTAATTAGCTTAAGAGTAATAACTTGGTACAAAGGAGAGAGCATTAGGCTGAATAGAGTTGGGTTCTGTTCCTGGATAAGCCACCAACTATCTGTGTGTGACTTTACATTGTCATTTGACTTTTTTTTTTTAGGCAATTGGGGTTAAGTGACTTGCCCAGGGTCACACAGCTAGTGAGTGTCAAGTGTTTGGTCTGAGGCTGGATTTGAACTCAGGTCCTCCTGACTTCAGGGCCAGTGCTCTATCCACTGTGCCACCTAGCTGTCCCCTGTCACTTGAACTCTCAGGGATTTAGATGAACCAATCTGTTAAATGAGTGGGTTGGATTAGATGATCTCTAAGATTCTTAGCAACTTACCCTCTCATCTCTCCCTCTTCCCTTCCCTTCCCTTTCATGTCCCCCTCCCCCCTCCAAATTCAGAGAGGTTTTATATTTATTTGTCATACCGACTGACGGCAGTAGCAACATAATTTAGCGGCAGATTGTATGTGCTATGAAGAAGAAGAAAGAATCAAATATGAAAGTAGTAGAAACAGTTGTATCAAGGATCTCGTTCTTTTTTTTAGGTGGAACACATCTCTGAACTTAGCATTCAAGCAAAATTGCAAATTGTGATTTGATTAAAAAAAAACATTTTGCATCATACAATGGACAGGTACTGGACTCATGATTTCCCTGGTAAGAAGAACTCATATGTGAAGAAACTCTCTTGATGATTGTCATCTTTTCTGCAACTTGTAGGCTTAATGAGTTTCCAAAGTCACTAAGAGGTGACGATAACCTACTCAGAGTTACAAAACTGGCTTGTGTCAGAGGCAGGACCTGGGCCCCAGGTCTTCCTGGAGGAGAAACAATTCCTTTGTCCATGACGCCAACCACACCACACAAGCGAGACAGAAATGCACCTGCCGGGACTGTGTAAAATGAGCGTGTAGAGTGAGCATGGTGGTTTATGTCTCCTTTGTTCTTTTCTCTTTGGCAGCTCCAGAAGTATTCCAGGTGTTTATGGATGGAGGCCCAGGATACTCCTACCCTGTAGATTGGTGGTCCCTGGGAGTTACAGCTTATGAATTATTGCGTGGTTGGGTAAGGAATACTTGCTATTCCCTAGTAAATGGGAGTCAAGAGTTTAGAAGCAGTTGGGTGTGACCTGTAAAATAAAAGTGTAATTCCAGCAATAAACACAAGGCTTTGTACACAGTCAGTGCTTAATAAATGTTTGTTGTTTGTGCACATATTATACTGTATCTAAATCGGAGAAGAGTCCTGAGTTCAAGTGCTGGCTCTGCCTCTTACATAGAAAGGTAGCAAGGTATAGAAGATAGAACACAGAACTTGGAGCCAAAATGATGAAGATTTAATTCTCACCTCAAACCTTTACTACTTATTTGAGCCTGAATTTCAGCCTCTCTTACCCTAAGTTTCCTCCTCTCTGAAATAGGGATCATAATAACACCTATCTCATAAGGTTCTTTTAAGGTTGAAAGAAGAGTGCATGTAGATAGATAGATAGATAGATAGATAGATAGATAGATAGATAGATAGATAGATAGATAACACTTTGCAAACCTTAAAATATTAAACAAATGTGATCTATTATCAGAATTACTGCATGGCTATGGTATCTTTTCTGGGACTCAGTTTTCTTCTCTGTAAAATAATAATGATAATAATTACTTTAATTGCTACATTAAGTCCTTTTGTTTTTACGACAGCCCTGTCAGCAAAGTAGGTACTGAAAGTATTATTATTCCCATTTTAGAGAAAGGGAAACTGAGGTGCAGAATATCAAATGCTATTAAAACCCAATGTTCTTTGTAAAATAGCAGTAAATGACCTATAAGGCCTCTTTCTGATGGTATGATTCTAAGTCTTAGTTCTTTCATAAAATGTACTTATTGTGTGCATGTTTTCCCTAGTATTTAAAAATTAAAAAAAAATTGAGTTCCCTAAATTCACCAATCAGGACAACAGTAATTTCCTTCAGAATTGTTAAGTGCTACAGGCTTTTTGTAACTTTCTTTGCTCCATTGATCTGTGCCCTAAGAAGGTAATGTCATAGTCTGCGATGTAAGGATGAGCCATAGGATGTAGTCATCACCAGAGCATATGTTGCTGAGGTAATCAATTACTGAGAGAAGTTTAGAACAGAACTTTTCAAGGCATGGCTAAAATTCCCAGGCAATTAAAAAAAAGCAGCTAGGTTTTCAGTCATTCCTTTTGGGTCATAGCTATCCCCTAATTCTCACAAAAAAGACAAGCATTTTCCTCAAATAAAGTGATGGCTCAATCTCTCTGGCTTTGGGCATCTGTGGTTTCATTTTGAATTCTGCCAAGAGTCTTCTTTTCAGGGAGTCCGACAGCACTTTGAATAGGCTTTCCCAATGGGGACCTTCAGTTTCTGCAGCCTAGAAAGTGTCAGCTTGATGGAAGTCATTTCTTTTTTCCCATTTTGGTCCAGATCTGTAATTTCTTTGGTGTAGGGCACTCATTCATTCAACAACTATCTATCCAGCACCTACTTGCTATGTGCTAGGCCCTATGCAAGGCATGAAGGATATAAAGATAAATAGGCAATGGCCCCTGTTCTCTGGGAGCTCTCATTCTCTCGGGGGGAGACATATAAGTTGAGGAGAAAATACAAAATCTATGCAAAAGCAAATACAAAATAATTTGGAGCAGGAGTCCAATGGGGAGGGATGGGAGAATAAGGAAATACTTATACTTAATAAGGAAATACATGAATACTCTTGTCAGTCAGTCTAATAGAAAGAACCATTTCCTAGAATTATTAATAAACATTTATTAAGCATCTGCTATGTGCCAGACACTGCACTAAACTTTAGAGATACAAAGAAAGGCAAAAATAGTCCCTGCCTTAAAGGAACTTCCATTCCAATGGGGGAATAATACACAAAAGGAAGCTGAAGAGGGGGGAAGTAGGGAAGGTACCTTGCCCTTGGGCATGATGGAGAGTTCCAAAGGGGTGGAGGGAAGAAATGATGAATGGAGGAGAAGAAATGTGAGCTGAGCTTTGAAGGGATCACAGAAGGCAAAAATGAGAAGAAAGACTATTCCAGGTGTGAGAAATAGCCCATTCAAAGGCAGCAAGGCAGCAGGCGAAATTTCATGTATGGGGAGCAGACATTATATCTATTTGACTGGAATAGTGAGTACATGGTGGGGAGTAATGGGAAGTCATCCTAGAAATTGAAGTTAACTTTGGGTTGGCCCTCTCTGCTCTTAGCTCTTGATAAGACAGTCCCTCTCTGCCCCTCCAAAAAATCTTTCTGAAAAGATCTTTCTAAAAATGAAATGGGGAAGACCCAGGAGGCAGTGAGTTCCTGATCACTGCGGGTCTTAAGGAGAGGCTGCATTATCACTTGTTAAGGATGTCGTAGGTTGGGATATTTCCTGGCACATATTAGTCACTTAATAAACATTTATTGATTGAGAGTTCATGTTTCAGATAAGAGGTTGAGTTAATGACCTCTGAGGTCTTTTCAAGCTCTAAGATTCTACAATTTTTGAGCTGAAGCTCTGGGGAAGAGAGAATTGTAGAAAATAACTCATATTTCCACAGTACTTTTCAGGTTTGAAGAGCACTTTTTTCACAATTACCCTTTGAGATAGCATATCAAGGATCTATGATTTCCCCATCATGGAAACTCCTGTGTTCAGGTAACCATCTATAACTTAGTTAAGAAGTCTTAGGGAGTGGTCCAAGTCTTAGAAAGGATAAGTGCCAAGATTATGGCCACACATCTATGTTAGGGGTATTTGAACCAGTGTCTTTCAAACTTGAAGTCCTAACATTTTGTTCACTATAGCATATTGCCTCCTGAGGTAAGCAGTACGGATCTTATTATCCCTATTTTATAAATTAGAAAACTGACTCTCAAAGGAGTTAGGACTTCTCTATTATCAACCCTATAAATGGGCCGTTTCTCATAGGTGATATTTCAACTATGACCTTAATGCTTTTGGACAGGCTGCTTCCCATGCCTGAAGTGCTCTCTTTTCTAATGTTTGTCTCCTGGCTTCCAGAGATCCCTTAAAGACTCAGTTCAAATTCTGTTGAATGATTGAAGAAGGATTTGAACCCAAGGACCCTGACTCCAAGTGTCACATTCTACCCACTGTCCCACATTGTTTCTTTGAAGTTATTTACTCTCTGCGAAGTCCCTGAAAATCTTCATTTGTTCCAGTTTAGAACTGTCTCTTATAAAACAATTGCTAACACATAATAAAATTGATTTAACTGTTCTTCCATCTCCCATTCTGACAGAGAAGCTCAGGAGAAGGGAAATGACCATTCGAAAGTAGCAGGAGATTGGTAGAAGAAAAGCAACATATTCCAGGGACCTGATAATAAATCCTTGAACCATTGCCCAGGCAGGATGTACTTGCCTCTTTATCTTGGCTTTGGGAAATGTTTAGAACACCCACTTCGTGGTGAGAAAAGCTCCATTTTTGTAGATCAGACTGGAAATGAGGGTGCTTTGCTCCATTCTACAAGAACTCCTGTCTGTAGCTCTGGGGCTCTTGTGCCAGATGAAGCAGTATATTCAAATTAGCCAATTTTGTTATTTTTTTTTTTTGTTCACGCCAGATGTGCTTCCAAAACACGCGTCCTTTCTTAGCCGGGAGGAGTAGCAACCTGGTGCAAAGTCAGATAAACTCTGGACTACGAAAGTTAAGTGAGAGAGATGATGAAATGGGGTCAGCTGGAAGAGGAGTTTGGACTAGTTGGGGCCACAGGTGGTGGATGAGATGCCTTTATTTGTGCTAGTAATGAAGGAAACCTCTTAGAGCTTTATCAAGTCTTCGAGCTACTTAAAGGCAACAAACCACTTAGAACACAAAGATCCTGCCTTGATGCTTTTTGCTGAAAACAGTGAAAGGGTTATTGATACTTGGAAGTCTATATTCTACTGTGTGGACAAATTAAGGGGCAAATACATCCTGTCAATTTAATACAACAAACAACATTTTATTAAACATCTATTGCAGATCAGCATGTGAAGTTCTGGGAAAGAAGAAAAATAAATAAATAAAGCCTTTGCTCCCTCCTCCCCTTCTACTCCATTTATTTATTAAATACTTTCTCTATACAAAACACTTTAAGTCTCATGGGAAATACAAAGGGAATTATGATGTAGTCCTACCCTCATAGAGTTTATGCTCTAAAAGCTTATTGCTTGTTCTACTTTACTAGCAGCAGTAGGCAGAGTAGGAGAAAAGAGCAGCCGGGTGTGGGGGGAAAAGTTCCACTGAGGCAGCTGGGTGGCCTAACTAATAGAGGGTTGGACCTACACTCAGGAAGACCTTAGCTCAAATCCAGCCTCAGATACTTACTAGTAAGGCAAGTCCCTTAACCTCTCTGTGTTTCTGTTTTTCCATCTATAAAATAGGGGTAATAATTGCATTGACGTCACAGAGCTTTTGTGAGAAACAAATGAATTAGCTTATAAATCACTTTGCAGACTTTAAAGTGTGATATAAGTGCTAGTTGCTATTTATTATTATCATCATTGTCATCATCGTCATCATCAATGCGTCATTAATTGCAAATGGAAAAATCATAAACCAAAAGGTCAGATTAGGTCAAGTCCAAGGTTTCTTTTCATGGTTGAAATCCCAGGAGCTGACACAAGTGAGAAAAAGCTGATCGCAGGAGCAGAGTGGTCGATATTGGATCAGAACAGTGTCTGTCAAAGGACGTTTGTCTGACTCAGCCCATCTCCCCAAAGCTTTGTTTCTTTTTGGCAGCTATTTACATTTACATTGTCACCCTACACTGACTTGTTGGCAGGGTCCTTGACCAAGTCCAAAGCGTGTGGCCTTGATTCAGTTATGCAAGTAAGTAATGGGTTGAAACTCTGAGTCTGGGGGGCATGCTAGGCCACATTTGTAAATAATTTTGATATAAAATAGAACATTGTATGTTCACAGGAAAGGTTCAAAAGAGATATTAGTGTTCAGATGAGAGATAATTCCCTTTTGACTCAGCAAATGGGAGATATATAAGGGTGGGAGGTTGAGGACACAGGGAAGGATTTAGTAGGTAGGACTTTGGAAGTGAT